CTGAGAAACAGGTGGCAAATGGATCCGAAGCGAAGGAGTTTTCTCGTCCACCTTCCACTGGCTGGCTGCTAGTGTGCCATTTGTCCTCCCCAGTGCCAATCGTTGGGCTCAAATACAGAGAGAACATCGAAGACGGAGGAGACCGAACAAGCAATCCAAGAGCGCGCAGGAAAAAGTTCCATCCATTTCGATCCATTAATATTACGAGCCACACCGTCCCCCGGCAAAGTATGTAGACCAACCGATCCCTGAAGTTGGAGCACCGAGGAGAGTGCTACTACCGCTGCTGCTGCTCCTCTGAGTGCGGACGCATATGTTCTATCTGTCAAAAACTTATGAAGAACGATATTTTAATATAGGTTATGTTCAAGCTCCGGCTGCTGCTGTTGGATGCTGATACTGCTGCTGAACGACGAATCGCGCCCACCCCCTCCGAGTGCGAGGAAAGGTTTCCGCAATTGCTTCCGCACAGTCGGAGCACCAACGGCATCTACCGAGCCAGCAGCGTTGGCATCATTTCGTGTAAGCATTGCCCCAGCGTTCTTCGGGGGGAGTATTACTGGGGTGGCAGTTTGGATTGGTCGTTCCTTGGTGCACAGTGGCGTGCGTAGATTCAGCGGAAAGGATTCCTTGAGTTCTTAAGAAGTGCTCAAACATTTAATAAGTTTCTCATTATTGACCAGGGCACAAGAGACGCATCAATTTATCCTTGTGATCCCGAATCCTATTCCGAAAGTTGTAATCCCCGATATACCTCGAAACGTCACTGCGGTCACACTAAACTCCAGCGAGTGCCGGTCTCCACCGACCCAGCAGCAATGGGTTTTGGAAGGATGGGAATGTACACATTCTCGTCGTCGTCGTTGTGGAGCAAGCCGAATAAAGGTAGCAGGTGACACGTGGCAATTTGGATTACCGAAAAAATCTAAAACCGACTAAAGTGTATGTGGCACACTCAAAGTTGTGCTTTGGTTGTTTAAACCGGGACCAGCAGCAGGAGCAGCAACTGGGGAATGAGTGAGTGAGAAAAAAAAGTTGTGGCAGCAGCTAGCAGCCAACCAGCGGCAGGAGAGAGAAAAAAAAACATGTTGTAAATCTGGGTTTGAGAGTTTCCAGTGTTCCTTCGGCATTAGCGCGATGGTTTCCAACACAGATGATGCAAGTTTGCGTTTAATTTAATTTTACACTTGTTTGAATGGTACATAACCGATTGAGAATTTTCTGCAGAGCTAAAATTCCTTTTTTGGACGAATTTTTAAACACCACTCTACTCCTAAAAGCTTGTAACCACGATTTGTGGGCAGTAGTAATCCCCCTTCGGAAAGTATGCACTCACATTCAATTTATCTAAATCCTTCGTGATTAGCATCGTCTGACCTTTCCCACTGGCTCGCAAACCGACCACATCGACCATCATCCTGGGGTGCTTTAGTCCGATCATGACTGGTCAGCTGATGGACGACTAGGGGAATAGATCTCCGCACAAAATCCCAAGTCTTCGGAGTGCATAGACAAAGATTCATTTTCTTCAACTACTCTTCCCACCCCAAAACAGAGCAACATAGAGTGGGCATTACATCACCATCGCTTCGGGAAGGGGACCTTGTGTGCAAAATTGGCATTTTGGCAGAATGTTACTGAAGCTGATTGTGCTGGAAACGTGTGGGACATTCAGCAGCAATGAAGCAGAACGCTTTTAGCTGCCACAGTATGACACCATCCATCCGACAGGAGCAACAGCAGTATCCATTTCGTTTCCGTAGCAGCAGGATATTCAAAGCCGTTCGTCGTTGCTGTTGTACCACATTAACCGCAAATGTTGGGAACATTGAAGAGATGGTACTGATATTCTGATGGTCTTTGGGCGATACGGACTGGACGGGGATCCGAAGCCAGATTCCTGCCAGAAGTTTGGAATTATCTATACGCCATGTGCCGGTGGGACATAAAAATGGTCGGTAGCCATCCGGTGGAAATGCGAGTTGAGAGGAATTTGTGATGATGGTATTGGTGTTTGAGCATTCTTGTCAAAATTAAACACTTTTACTAATCGTTACGTTGGATTGTCAATGTTACACGACACAACATTCGGACGGTTAGGATTTACAATTTGACATTGAGCAAAAGTATGCTGCAATGAAACACGCTGGACGTTTTAAGTTCATTTCGTAACACTTTCTGATGACCGGGATTGTTGGGTAAGATGAGGTCTTTTGGAACAAACTGACCTCCTTTGACGTTGTACGTATTATAACATCTAAATTCCGTGGGACTATTTCTCACAATTACCTTGAAATAATATATTGGATGTTGCTTGAAATTCTCTTCGAAATTCTTTTAAAGCTCTCCTCATAAATTCTTTTAAAGCCCTCCTGAAACTGTATTCCTACTCTTGATGATTCCTCTTACCCCTACAAAGGTTTGAGCTGGACGATTGATCTTTAAGATTATTAAATATGACATTTTAACCAAGTAAGCAAACAGAATCAAACTGGTTACAGTTACAGATATAAATTCCCTCTAGAGCTTACAGTTGCTTCACAGTGGTATAAATGTAGAAAAGCTCAGGCGTCCACCTTTTAGTTCACCTTTTTGTCCACCTAAAATATTCATAAGTATTACAAGCAATCAAGAGTTAATGACCAATCAACAAAGCATCATATAACACAACATTTGCCAGAAAACTTACTGCTAACTCAAGGTATCTTCCAAATAAGCTTCAAAATTGCATTTTTTTTTATCAAATGTTAAATTCAGTCCTCTATATCCGTAATACGCGCGCGAGGCTCAAACCTTTGTAGACTACTTTTTTTTTTAATTAATCTACTAAAGACAGTTTTACCGTGTGAAATGCAATGTCTCTTAAATTCTGTTAGTGTTGCCAAACGTTTGATAGGCATCGATTTGAAAATATTTATTCTTTTAAAATATAATGAATTTTGTGAAGCACAAGTCAAGAAATGTGGTGTTCTTATTTCATCCGCGTTTCTTGTATTATATCTACGAAAGTCACTTCCTCTTTCAATTCGATCAGTGATATCGATACAATGGAATAATTAATAAGGAGAAAAAAAATATATGAAAAATTAGAATTAAAGTAAAGTTTTAAATCGATGATAAATGAAATGGGTTTGGACTCCAAACTTTGTAGTTATTGATCAAATCGAAAATATGATAAAAGCTTCATCCATCCAGTTGTACAATCCTGGAAGAATTTTATCGAACAGTTGCTTATTAAGCTTAATAAGCAAAATATTCTCCAGCGTGTCATCGGAAAGTTTCGTGCGCTTATCTGACAACACTAATCCAAGTGCACTGAATGCTCGTTCGACGGAAACTTGATTCGAAGGGACTGCAAGCAGTATCGTGGCAACATCATACAACTCAGGATGAGTATTCTTCCGGGAAAGCCAATGTTTCCATACATCGAACGAGTGGTTCTGGTGAGGTTCCAAATCCAATGCGTTGAGCTGTCGCACAAACGAGTTTTCCGTTTTCTGTGGCAATCCTTGTTCAGGAAGGGATCCACCAAACATGTTGGTCAAGAAAGCATCTAGGTCGTTACAAGGAAGTGTTGTTGGGGCTGATGTTGACTGTGTAGCCTGCTCGGAATCGCATGCTTTCAACCGTTTAATCCGCTCCCACGTAGCGACGATAAAGGCCTATAAAATCGATCAAATCAAAACATATGTTTAAAATTGGTAGGAGTATGGTAAGTGCAGCACTTTTGGTCATATTTTCCTATATTTGCCATACCTTTGAAATATAATTAAATCACAATCTCCGTGCGTTTTGTCTGCGACATATATATCTAGCGTTCAGAATCATAAGGGCCTTACTGCGATGATCGATTCTCTTCCTCGGTTTTTTTTTTTCTTTTGTTAATAAATCGTCTGGATTAAGATTTCTTGGTGTGTTTGATGTTGCTTTTGCATACTAATACAACCTTTCACTACATTGTGTTGTAATAATTTCGAAAAATTGATTCACCACAGTAATGCGAAGAAAAAATCGATGAAGAGAATCGATCATCGGCCGAGTTAGGTCCGTATGATTCAGAACGCTAGATATGTACCCCGATGAATATGATTTGAATCTTAAGTTAAGATCTCAAACATGTAAAAAACAAGAAATATCAACAAAACATGACCAAACTAGGAGCATGAACAAAATAGGTGCGTTTCCTCTATACTTACCCGAACTTCTTCCTTCTCATCAGCACAAAATATTGTGGAGTTAAGGTAATTGAATCGCGGCTCGATAAGTAGTGCAGATTTGAAAACCATGTTGTCTTTCAATTGTTTTAGCCGCCTGGTAAGCGATGTGGCTAAAGGTTCTGCGAATTTGTTTGAGGTTATTTTACCGACCTGTGCATAGCTTGCATATTTTTAGTAGCTATGTAAATAGGTTCAAATGCTGCGATGTATTCTTTAACAAAATCCCACTGATTTACAAGATCTGGAATGTGACAAGAATAAATGGTTTTGGATAAATATGTAAATATGTTAGAACAGTTATTCTTCAAAACATCCTAACGTTCGCCATATGAATGGATTTTAAGGATTTTAAAGTAATGCATTATATAATAGATAACTCGCCATAAAGAAAATGAATGATAATTAGGATGTAATAAGGAATAATCGTATATTTATGTTATAGTTACCTAATTCAGGATACTGTGATCCAAGATCTTTGTAGAATTCTTCGTGCTTGTTAAAGTGTTGTAGCATTTCGAAAATTCCTCCCCACCTAGTTTTTGCATAAAGAGGTGGCAGCGAGTGACTTCGCAAGTCGAATACTGGCTTATATGCAATTTTCCTGCAATTCTTGGCAACTGTAGTACAGTGGCAACCATATTTGCCCCGTTGTCGCAGGTAATTGCAAATATTTGGTCTAACAAAATTCCATATGAAGCAATTATTTCTTCAATTTTTGATTTAAGAAATTTCGCTGTATGGCGCTCGTTTATCTCGATCATACCTTAAATTTGAAATAAGAAATTAATGACATATTCTATTTAGAATTAGGATAACATTAAAATTACCGATTGTGTAAATAGCAATTTCTTGTTTTTCCGGATCAAACAATTGAATATTCACACCGAGGATGTGACGTCCATAGCGCGTAGCACTGTCAATTTTCAAGCATAACAATTTTCCTTTGACTAGACTCTTAATAGAGTTACGGATCTTATCAGCTGCAGCAAGCAAGTGTCGCATGAGGTTAGGTCGGTTCATACGAACATTAAGTGAATTACTGATAGGGTCGAGGAGGAGTTTGAACCCTTCCCAATCAACGCAATGTAAAGGAACGTGATGAATAGTTATAAGCTTAATCATTGCTTCCACAAAAATTTGTCGATCAATTGCAATGAGCCTTTTGGAAATTTTTCTCTTCTTGGCAATTGCTTCCATTTCTTCGCGAAATAATCCACGAGCCATCGCTAGCTCGGCGTGTTCCGTCCGAATATGACGAATAAAGTTTCCGGGATCTAATTTGTTTGCAGTTTGACGGTACTTGCACGAATTGCTCCTATCAATCGCGCATATAACGAACCCGTTTTCCGATGCAGTACATTCTTCTACTAATATTTTGCGCAATATCTTCCTCTCACCGGTTGATGATGGTTCTCCCATTCTTAGCAAGGCTTTGGACGTTTAGGATGTACTTATGAATTCGATTTAGTGAGTATATTTAAAGAAACAGATGTCCTTGAAATATTTACCACGCGAAGCCGATTGGTATCAAGTTATTGAGATTAAAAGATAGAGTTAAAAGAAATTCTCGATTACTTTTTCGAAGGGACGTATCAACTTTTGTAAACAATGTATTTGATCGTCGGTTTGGTGTAAATGGTAGCTCGCCCACGCGTACTAGCACCACTATCAGGTAGGGGAAAATTTCCCCTATCTGGTGGTAGTGTTAGAATGCGTGGGCGAGCTACCAGCTACGCCCCCATCTGACGATCAAATGCATTATTTAAAAAAGTTGATACGTGCCTTCGAAAAAGTAGTCGAGAATTGACAATTTACTTTTTTTCTTATGGGAATTTTTAATGGAGCGAGAACGAAGTCTGCCATGTTTTACGCACAGTCTGACGGTTGCTTATGGATTTTATCGTAGGAGTAAAGAGCTACAGACTCGCCGTCAACGCCAATGTTAATCAAAGTAAAGGAGAATGAACTCTTTCGTGTCACTTACAAATATGCTGAATGAACATTTGAAGTGATCGACGTCGTTAGTGAGCATTGTTGTTTTATTATTAAAGCATGAACGTCTAATGAATAATGGAAAGCAATGTCATGATGTCAAATTACATTTGATGGTATAACTGTCGAGTGAATCCGTATTTTAAAATTTTCACCAATGACAGGACACAAATGTATGCAAAAGCATGTCGATGGTCGTGACAATTAGCAAGCCTGGCTGTATTTACTGGCAATAGTTAAATCGTTTTTCATTCGACATAGAATTCCATACTTCTTGGGAATTTTCTTGATGACATTGCCAATGCTAGAGTTGAACTTAAGTTTGTCATCAATAATCACGCCAAGATATTTAATCTCTCGAACGCGATCAATAGTCTCATCATCAATTACAACAGAGACGTTCTCATTAACTCTATTTCGCGAAATTACCATAAATTTAGTTTTACTTGTATTCAATTTCAACTGCTTATACTTCAACCATCTACTTAGAGAACGCAAATCTTCATTCAAGTGTAAAATAGCATCATCTAAATCCTTAGCTGCAATGAATAACACAGTATCATCTACAAAAAGATTAATGTTGCAAAATCTTAAAACACCTCGGAAGCCATTTATATACATAATAAGTAACAGGGGCCCTAATACACTTCCCTGGGGCACTCCAAGGTTATTCCCCGCAGGACTGGAAATAGAATCATTAAAAACAAAAATCCGCCGCCAGGAGTCTACCCTAGTAGCACGCTTGTCACGAATCAATTGTAGAAACTTATATACGACTTATTTCTGTCATAAACAAGTTGCTGTAACTTATTGTGATGAAAGTGTGCTACTCGGGTACGTCCCTACGTGGAAACAAGAACCCAATGATCGATGCCATCATCGCCGGCGATCTCTCCGGGGGTGCCTCCACGCCACGGGTCTTGGCCATGACCACTTTGTAGGCATCCCCCCATGGGTTCGTGTTGGTGCTTTGGCATAAGCTGTCAAAGCACGCACGCTTGCGTCTGGCGATCTCTTTGTTGAGGGCCGCCTTAGCTGCTCGAAAAGCGACGCGGCGTTCCTCTCGAGATTCGGTTTTACGAGCTCGTTGCATCCTCCTTCTCGCATGGAGGCAAGACGCCCTGAGGATAGCAATCGACTCGCTTAACCAGTACACCTGTCTATGGCCATGCCTGGGATAGGTTCTCCTAGGCATGATTGTATCGCACACCCTTGTCAGCGATGCTATCAGTTATTCCCCCGTCAGATCAAGGGTTATTCGCTCCCGCCTCAGTGCTTCGCCGAAGACCTCTTCATCAAAGAACGATGTCCACCAGCCTCGAGCGCAGGAAGGATTCCCTCCTGCCACTCGCCTCTCACCTAGCCCCACGCTGTAGCGAATCGCCTGATGGTCACTATGGGTGTAACCCTCATCGACCCTCCAGTGTAGGTTGCACCATTCCTTCTGTAGGTACTGACCGAGCCGGTGTTGGCTAGTACAACGTCCAGCTTGGCCATTGCCTCTAGTAGGATGCATCCTCTCTGGTTGGTGTGGTGGCTACCCCACTCTACCGCCCATGCGTTAAAGTCGCCCGCAATGACCACCGGTCTTAGGCCGACAAGTACCGCAGTGAGTCTGTCCACCATCTGCGAGAATTGCTCGATAGACCACCTGGGCGGAGCATAGCAGCTACTTAAGTATACTTCATTAACCCTGGCGATCACGAATCCCTCGCTCGAGTTGGACACGACCACCTCCTGAATGGGGAAGCTCGCGCATATCACCGCCTTCCCCACTTCCCGCTGCCGGATGGGACACGGTACGGGTCGGAGATGATTGCGACATCCACTCCCCATTCCGCTGTCGGGAGCTTGACGGTAGCCACCTGTATGGAGAACAGTCCCTTCTTCAAGGTAACCGCTGTTGGCGGTACCTTGATTTGGCACTGCTCCCTGAGTGCCTTGGCTAGTTCGGTCGCTTCTGTCACTTCTTCCAAGTTCTTAACCTGGATGGTGATCGTCGAGCCTAAAATCCGTGAAGACAATAACAAATTTATTATTATTAATTTTTCAAACGGATGTTGTCGAAGGAACCGGCTCACGGGGGAATAACGGAAAGGATGGCTTCTATGGCACACCGGGGTCACCAGAAAGAACCAGATCAACAGTCGTGGTGGAAGCTGCAAGTATTGGATACCGAAAAAAAAATGTGAAAGAAACGAAATTTATTACTTATGTGCTGCTCCACTAGCGCTTTAGATTTGCGACTCACCAGGTTACGTCACTGTATGGCAATACACATCGTGTTCGGATTCGAACAACCGATGGTCTCGAACGAGATCTCAAAGGTTTTTTTTTTCTTTGTGATTTTTAGCCGTAGGCTAGTTTATCACATTTGATAGTAGAAGGTCAGGCTTAGGGCCTGCCTCTAAGGAAACGTTTCAGTCTAACATTAACGTAACGTAAAACTGGCTCTGACACAACATTAAAAAAAAAATCTTAATGTAAAATGGGAGTTACATCGGGACTGTGGTGAGGAATGGATGCGCGAACAAGGTAGAGCTCCACTGTAAGAGACAAAGCCCCAGTCCGGCAGAGATACCCCGACAGCAGGAAAATAGGAAGGTGGAAGAACACGGACAGCGCAGCCAATGACGAGAGTGCTAGATTTGGTTGTACAGATGGGCGTCCTTCAAGAAAGCAATCAGCGCAGCTAGCGTCGAGGGTTCGTTGCCAAGTAGCTCCCTGATGTTCTCTGGGAGTCGGTGTTGTTCGCGTAGTCTCTGAAACTCTGGGCAGACACACAGCATGTGTTCCACCGAGGCAGGGATGCTGCAGATTGGACAAACCTTGTGGAAGGGTGTCCCACCAAAATTGTGGGAAATCCTCGCATGGCCGGTCCGGAGTCTTGAAATGATCCGTTGGTCCTTGTACTTGTGGCTGTCTTGCCAGGGTCGTACGGTTTCTTTGATCTTTCTCAGGAAAGTGGTCCGCGACTGAAACCATTCCTCCTGCCAGGTTTCCATAATAATATTCGCGATCCAACGCTTGACGTCTAGGAGTGGTACGTTCCTTGTGAAGCGGGGACCAGATGAACCGGATCCCGCCAGCCTGTCCGCAGCCTCATTTCCAGGAACACCGCAGTGCCCGGGAATCCACGTAAAAACGGTTGAGGGTGGGGCTTGTATCCAGGGGTGGCTCGGGGCTTCGGCTTCCACCGCCTGGATGACGCTGTGTGAGTCTGTTAGCACAAGGATCGGTTGATCTGCAGGAGTGATGGCTGCATCAAGAATAGCAGCGGCTTCTGCGGAAAAAACGGAACACTCCTCCGGTAGACTTTGACTTGTTGCGGAGTTTGGTCCTGCCACTCCGAGTCCCACTCCAGCCCGTGATCGCGATCCGTCCGTAAAGCGATGAACGTGCCCCGGATAGACCGACCCAAGAAGTTCTGCAACTGAACGCCTCAACGCTACAGAGTTATCTCGTTGAGGAGAATAGGGTCTTCATTCCCGGATGTCTTAGCAGCGAGGGCAGCGGCTTTCGTAGCAGTAGCTGCAGCAGATCGATAGCGGAAACGGAAAGGGAGGACTCCGATTTCCGCACAAGCAGCGTCTGCAGACGTGGAAGGTAGAAGGCCGGATACGATGCGTACGTAGGTATTGTATACCGGAGCGAGGATGCTGTTCAGCTTCTCGGTGGCTAAGCAGGTAATTTCAATGCCGTAGAAAAGTCGACTGTCGATAACAGCCCGGGCGACACGAAGGCGGATCTCGCGGTTACTGGAGCGGTGCGGGCGGGAGGTTGTCCTGACGATGTTGATGCGGCTACAACCAGGCTGAAGTGCTGGTCGAAACTTAGAGTCCGATCCAGAACTACCCCCAGAACACGTACTGTTTTCTTAAGCGGAATTGGATGGTCCTGGATGGTGATCGGTGGTCCCCGAATCAGATGGCCCGAGTGGCAGATATGGCACCGTACACTCTTTGGAGCGGAGAGCTGGAAACCAACAGAAAGCGCCCACCTGCTGACGGCGGAGACAGCTGCTTGGGCAATATTCCTTGTCTCAAAGGAATCATTTCACGGGGAATAACGGCCTCGGGAATAACAGAACTGATGGCGGTAGAAAAACTTCCGGAAGTCACTAGCCTTGAACTTCATTCGAATTGAGGAACATCAAAAATGGCGTCGTCGTGGCATTCTTTCATCCAACTCAGAGTTATTTTCACTCAACGCAAGCTTTATAGTAATTTACTCAGCGTTGAGTAAATTTAGGCCCACCAAACTTCCGATTTGGTTTTACTCATCTGTAAGTAATATACATATTACTCAACCGTTTAGTTAAAATTAACCGTCATAACACATTGATTTTTACCCAATGGGATACTATAACGGTTTTACTGGAATTTGGGTTGTTTAAACTCATGTTTTGGGTAAGTTTCATTTTCTGTGCATGCTGCGTTCTCCATAATTTGCTCATTGACAACAAGAAGTACTGCCCATCGCTGACTACTACGATGCGAACGGAAATATAATCGAAGGAGAATGGCGGACAAATGGGTGCGATAATATCAACAATCAATACAAAACTAACGATTTTAAATTGGCTCACCACTTTAGTAGCCTATTGGTCCCAAGCAAACGATTAACGTACCCTATTCTAGTCGAAATTCTAGTACTACGCATTGTTTGTTTTGATTCGCTATGAAAGTTTGACAGATAAAATGAGGGGTTATTGGTTTTTCCTATGTTTCGAGGGGTGAATCGATTAGCTTGGGACCGAAGAGAGTACCAGAGCTGAGCCAAAAAGTTGAGCACGTTATTTCGGGAACTTCTAGTCTTAGAGTTACCTCTATGATAATATTATGACACCATTACAATCAACTAGATGAAGAATTTCGGATAGAGCAAAAGAGATCCGCAATGCTTTGAAAAATTATGTGCTGGTAGTGTTCAAGCTAATGTTCATTTTTTTGCGATGTTATCCCATGCTGCATTACGTTTCACCAGATTTCCGTAGAATTTGTCCATTTTATCCCACAAGCAGGAGTAGTTCCGGACTTGCTGTGGCACTTCCTTGTTTTGCTCTTCGAGAATAACCCAACAAACAATTTGAACTGATTAAAGGCTGAATAAGCCATTGTTTAGCTGAAGCTTTTATGGCTGCTTCCAATGTTTGTTGGGAATGTTCTGCTTACGTTTTGCGGCAGCTGGTTCATGCTTCGAGTCGTCATCTTTTTCATCCATTTGCATATTTTCTTCTGATTCTATCTCCGCTTCTTGGATCACATTATCTTCCTACAGCGACTCCATAACTCAGTGGAATAAATACTGCTATCAGAATTTGCACCTGTTCACGGTGAAATGATTTTCAGAATGGCTTGAAGCATTTCAATGTGAACATCCACGGGAAACTATTTTGACATTTATATTCACCATTGTCCATCGTTCACGTTCACCATGATGAATTCACCACCGTCCAGATTCCGCGGGAAAAAATCTGAATTGCGATGAATTATCAATAGAACTAAGTGTTGTTAATATACAATGCTTTATTTGTACATACTGATTAGAAATTTGAATTTGGTTGTCTTTCAAAACTATTTTCCTTGCAATATTAGCAGTATTAATGAGTTATAAACAAACGAACAATTTTTCACGTTCACCGGAGGTGCATAGAGCTTTAGATTATACAATGAATGGGAAACGGTCGCAACTGTTCCTCAGCTACGGTCCGATCGTTCGCCCACCGAAAGGAGAAACGGAAAAAGGAACAACGTTTCCTACGGCTGGGAAAACTTGAGCAGTACCCAAGTGAATCAGCAGCACGAGAGAGTGAGTGACGCTCGGCCGGGTGGCGAAAACACCACCCCCCTCATGAGAACAGAGGAGAAAATCCGACACAATGACGAAAGGAGACAGTGCCAGTGGCAGTCGGTGTGCACATGTTACAATTTGAAATTTTCTGAATAAACACTCACAAAACCAGGGATGGCGGGAGAAAGAGAGAGAGAAAGAGCATGGGCGATGAATGAAGTGAACGTGTGTGAGCATGAGTGAGTGGGAGTGTGGTGGGTGCACGGTGGTGGTTAGTCCGTGAGAAAGAGCGCCTGCCGTGGAGGCGTAAATCATTTATTATTGTTATTAGAGGTTTGGGAAGACGGTACATAAGAAACCATGTGCGCGTTTGGTTCCCTTTTCTTTTCTGGGTGAATTGAAGGTTGGTGGAGAATGGCGAGGGGGTCGGCTTGTTAGGACAGAGCTCGGCAGAGTTTTGGCGAGTGAGTGTGAGTATACCAACTAAGTGGTTGGGAAAGGGTTATGCGGATTGCTGATATTGAATGAAAACATTAGTGTGTGGAGTTGGAGGATCAGTCAGAGATTGGTGTTTGGAATATTTGCTTTATTTTGTTTATTTTTTTACTAGAAAATAGCAACCACCAGAAGCCATACTGAACGCTGGTTCGATTCCTGGGCTGGCCGAGGATTTTTTGTTTTACTTGGACATCCACCCTAAACAGTATAAGATTACAATAACAGTGCAAATTGACATCGGTGTTACAAGAATATTAAGTTGAGAAACGGCGTTCCAGTCGGCTCGCAGTTTTGTATTTAAAATAAAAAAGTGAAACAGCGGATAAACGATAGTTTAGCAAACTTAAGTAACTTAAAGAACACAAGTGCGAACACAAATTCGAAATGACGCCTCTATTTTCAAGAAACATTACCATTTCAACCCCTCAGCACTCTCAAGTGTCAGCCGGTATTCGTCCGTCGGTCGCGTCGTCGTTGGTGCGATGAAATGGGAACCGTCTGTGAGTGGCATATCGAAACAAACCGGCAAGCAACAGCAGCAGTCAGCCCCAGCCCCCAGCCCCCAGCCCAATGATTCAAATGCTTTTCACGAGTGCAGGGGATGGGAGTGCGGAAAAGCTCACCCAAATGGGGAGCGGGAGGTGGTGAACAAACTGTTTAGGGAACACCAACAGCCGGTGTGTGTTTGCTGTTGGATGGCTGGCTGCTACCTACTACTGCTACTGAGCACTCTGGCAAGTGGGAACATTCTGCTTTGATTTGATTTTGACGGTTTTTCGTTTTGCTCTGGTGTTTCTTGCAGCTGTGAACTTTTTCTGATGCTTTCTGCTTTGGCCCTTCTGCCTACATAGTTGGGTGGGTATGGAATGGATGGGTAACAGCACTTTTTCGACTGTTTGCGCCGGTGGCGGCGGCGTGCGATATCGCAACGTGGTAAAACGTGTCGCTGACAGGTTTTCTAATTGCAAAAAAGGGGTTGAATGTCAATTTAATCGGTTTGAGTTGTGGCATTGCTTGTGTGGGGATTTTTTTCTTTCCTTGTTGGTCTCGACATGGTTGTTTATGCGAGCGAGATAGAACCGTGGAACCAGCATGCAGCTGAGGAATTAATCAATTTTTATAATTTTTCCCGACGACCGGTGAGCGTTCATGTGGCACTTGATGGTAATTGGTGTTTTGTTTTCTCGATGTTTTTCCAATGCAGATGGCGCTAGAGGCGAAAGCAATCAAGGAGGAAATACCCGACAAGGACACATATGAGACCACCACTCGCAAGGTGAAAGGTAAGATTTATGATTATTTGCTCCTGGTTTGGGACTATAATGGTGTTTTCTTGGAGAATCTTGCTGCAAAAATGTTGTTGACTTTGACTCATCCCATTAGCGATGATGATGAGGATTTATGTTGAATCATTCGATTCGTGCCACCATACCTTCGATTGATTATTGTTACTTCACACCACCCTCTGTTATGCTCGACCACGACAACGATACCCTTCGTATACCCGAGAAAATGTTTATTGTGAAACGATTTTTCGCGCTTTTCCGTTTCCATAGAGTACGCGCATGTACTTTTTCCACTACTCCGGTTTGGATACAAACATTGTGTAGGTAGTTTGTAGATTTCCATGCTCCCATAGTGACTGGCGGGTGGCAAACAGCTGTTGATTTCACGCGAGAAAAAGTCAATCCAACAGCAGATGGTCTTCGGCACCTACTCCGGTCGTGGCTAGCCTCGCGTCGTTGTGTTAGACTGGTGGGGGGTTGGAAATTGAGCTGACTCTCGTTTATTGACATAACGAGGAAATAAATTTAGCATTCATCAACCACCTTCGGATTCGATTGCTAGGCACCGTAGAAGGGGGGATTGGAATCCAGTTGGATGTGGTTGTGGTTAGAGGAGGTAGAATATAAACTTGAATGATCTTCCATTTATAGGCGATGAAATGTTTAAATTAGGTATTGTGTGTAGTATTTTTACAAGCTGTTAGACACTGAACATATCTAAGGCTACCCCATTCTAGCCCGATATGTTTGCCGTGAAAGCGATTATTTCGTTTTGCGAATAGGTAGTGATGTTCGACTTTCATTGAAATCGGACAAACGGGTTTTGTTTATAATGAAATGTAATCGAGTACATTTTAACGACTGAGCAAACGTGTTTTTTTTTTTTTTTTTTTGTTGGGGGGAGTTGAACCACTGCGTCCATTATTTGAAATTTTTTGGTACCCCTGTTTACTGTTCGTATCATGCAAGCTGACCACCATTTATTGAGTGGACAGCTAATTACCTGGACACGTCCTTTCCCAGTAAGGTATGATATGGTTTATGAAACCAACTACCTTTCCAGAATCAGCATACCAAATTCCATTAGGTTGTAAGATAACACTACGAAGACATTTAGATCTACGCCTGTGTAATGCACCGCAACTGCAGAGCAGATGTTGCGTGGTTTCACGTTCTATGCTACAGAAACGGCAGATATCGCTCTGAACCCGACCAATGTTCTTCAAATGATATCTACTCGGACAGTGCCCAGTTACTAGGCCAGTGTATATACTAAGAGGCCGTTTATTGAGATCCAAGAGCTTTTTGATATGTGTTACATTTGGAGTTATAAATCTTTTCGACTGGTGGCACTTCGTGACGGTCATCCAGTTGGCCATCACCCTTTGTTCTTCCCAGCGTTTGAGTTCCATTTTTACCGTACAGTTTGATATTCAGCAGTATGGTTCTGGGCCAATAAACGGTGAATTGGAACCTAATTTTGCGAGATCGTCTGCCCTTTCATTCCCTTCAATGCCACAGTGTCCAGGAACCCAATATAAGTTTACTAAGTTCTGTTTGCACAGCTGTCGCAACAAGAGAATACATTCCCAGACAATCTTTGATGTACATTTTTATGCACGAAGCGCTTTTAGTGCTGCTTGACTGACAGAAAAAATACAGATATTTGCACATCTATATTTTTTCCTTAGGCAAACACTTACACATTCAAGTATGGCCACGATTTCCGCTTGAAACACTGTTGGACAATGTCCCATCGCTACTGAAATATTTGTCCCAGGGCCAAAGATTCCTGCACCTGTTTGTGTTCCAATTTTTGAGCCATATGTGAAAAATATGATTGAGCCTTGACGAACGCTAGGATCACCGACTTCCCAATCCGAACGCAACATTTCACATACGTTAAAGGGAGTGTCATAATTGTCCTCTGGTTTCATCCAGTCTTCATTCATACTCATCACTGGTCATCTTTGGAAGTATTGTAAAATGCTTAGGTGGTCAACCAGGTCATCAGGCATGACTTTTTTTAGACCTTTTGAGCCTTAGAGCACTTCTTTCCGCTTCTAGTTGCACGTATTCATGCAAGGGCAGTAGATTGAGAATTGCATCTAAAGCTTTTGATGGGGTGCTGCGCATCGCACCCGTTATAGCAATACATCCTAGACGTTGTAGTTTTGCCAGCTTCCTCTGTGCGGTAACCTCTTTCGTTTTTGGCCCCCACACTAACGAAGCATAAGTTACTTTTGGACGGATTACTGGTGTGTAAATCCTCATTGTCATTGTTGGTTTCAAACCCCATTTTCTACCAACAGTTTTGGAGCATAACCACAGGGCACTGGTTGCTTTGTTGATCACAGAATCAATCTGAGCATCCCGATTCAACTTGGCATCCAATATAACTCCTAGGTATTTGACCTGTTCACTAAGATGGACCTGTTCTCCTCCAAGCTTGAACTCCTTTAGGTTGAACTTCCTCTTTCTAGTAAAAGGAACGATTACTACTTTTGACGGATTAATGTTTAGGCCCTCCTTAATACACCAAGATTGGGTAAACTTTAGAGCTTGTTGCATTCTTCCTGAAATGATAGCGTCAAACTTTCCTCTAACTACGATGACTATATCATCCGCAAAGCCCACAACTTCGAAACCTTTCGTCTCTAGGCTTCTTAGAAGATCATATACAACTAAAGACTACATCAGTGGTGAGAGGACTCCTCCTTGAGGACAGCCTTTCGTTGCCTTTACTGTTATAGATGAGCTTCCCAGCCCAGAAGTGACTTTTCTTTTTGCAAGCATAGTATGAATACAGTTGACGATGTGCGTGTCGAAGTTCCTTTTCTTCATGGCGTCAACCATAGAAGAATAGGATGCGTTGTCAAAAGCTCCTTAAATATCCAAGAAAGAACAAAATGCGATTTATTCAACTGAAAGTGATTTTTCGATTTTAGTTACCAAAGTACGGAGAGCAGTAACTGTTGATTTTCCAGATTGATACGCAAACTGAAAATTAGATATTGGATGCGTTAACATGTAAGTTGAATTGATGAAGTCATTCGACACCTTTTCCAGAGTCTTCAGTAAAATTGATGAGAGACTAATGGGCCTAAATGCTTTTGGCTGCGTTTTATCGCGCCTCCCGTTTTTCGGTATGAATATAACTCTTACCAATCTCCATTTTGATGGAATGTAGTTTAATCTAAAACTCGCCTTATAAATCTTAGTTAGAGACGGAATCAGCATTGCTTCACCGTTTTGAAGTAGTGCCGGGAATATGCCATCCACACCCGCAGATTTAAAAGGCTGAAAAGATCTCACAGCATTCTCCACTCTGGAAATTGTGAAAATTTCATCAGCTATATCTGGTATGGTGTTTTCTGTTCTCTGAGACACTAGCGAGGTCTCTACAGAACACATTTCACCAACAGAATCAGAAATATCTGATTCCACACACAATACCGAACCTGGAAAATGTGTTTCCATAATTAAATTTAAATTTTCAGAGGGAGATTTGCTAAAATCTCCATCATGACATTTAAGATTACCAAGTTCAATCGTATGGTCTTTCGCAAGAGTTTTCTGCAATCTCGCGACTATAGAAGTACTGTTTATATTTTCACACATTTGAATCCAAGATCGCCTCTTAGATTCCCGTATTTCATTATTGTATTCAGATAGAGTTTTCTTATATTGAGTCCAATCAGAAGTGATTTTCGCCTTATTGAACATCTTACGTGAAACTTTCCGAAGGCGTTCCAATTTCAAATTTCACCACGGCACATCCCTGTTAGAAGACGACCGTTTGATAAGACAGCTACTGTTGTAAGAATTTATAATTCTTTCGTTTACCTTTTCAGAAAATGATTCCAATTGTTGGATAGAATCAATCTTTACGTCGTTTGTAAATATATCTGAATCTAAGCACTGTGCATATTGATCCCAGTTTGTTTTCCTAGGATCTCTAAATGAAGAAGGTGGTAAATCACCTCAACCTTATTCAAACATAATGTGTTTATGATCAGAAAGTAAGATTTCATCTGACACACGCCAATTTCGAATCTTCTCAGAAATTGCAGAGTTGCAAAATGTCAAGCCTAAAACTTCCTGTCTAATGGCATTTGAAAAAGTAGGTTCATTTCCTTTGTTGCATATGTCTATATTATAAGATGAGAGAAATTCCAAAAGGCACTCACCTCAACTGTTGATGTCCGTACTACCCTACACGGTATGATGCGCATTTGCATCACAGCCAATGATGAACGACTTGTTGTATTCTCTGCAATATTGGACTAATGAGGTTGATCTCAGAAGGAGGTACCTCAGGAGCATCACAAGGAAAATAAGCCGAAGCAACTACAATCTTGGTTTTTTCCTTGGTGGTTGGTACCTCAACCATGACTGCGACGACGTCCCGTTTGATGAATTCTGTAATAGGGTAGCATTTCAATGTTTTATCAACCAGAATAGCAGTTCTAGGTGAAGTCTGCTTTTCGTCATAGTATAACTTACATGCGTTTATTTCAATTCCTTGTATTTTTTCTCTGTTGGACCATGACTCTTGAATAAGCGCCATGTCCAGCTCCTCCTTTTTGAAATTCCGACTCAATATAGCAGAAGCGCTTTTTGCATGGCGGAGGTTCACTTGCAGGAACTTAATGGGTTTCATTTTGTTTCTTAGATCGCTCATCTTTGCCTTTGGGGAGAGCGATAGACCCATCGTTTGATACTCGAGTTTTGATTTTCCTTAGCTGCGTTTCACTAAATCGGAAGTTCAGTACGAAATCACGTTCCGACAATGTCTTTAGCGAATCTGCATCAACATTTAACGGCCACTCGGCATGTTTGTTTGCGTTGGAGCGATTCAATATTTTCCAGCCATTCGTGCTTAAACCATCATTTTGACTCTCAATGAGTCTCTTAAGCCTCTCATCGCTGAAGTCTGCACTTAGTGGGAAGAATGCGTGGAATATTTCCGGACGAAGGACCTCTTTCTCGTCCAG